CGCTGCCAGGAGCCCCCTCCTCCCGGCTTAACCCCTCCCGCTCCGCGCCGCCTTCGGTGCCGCGCCCTCGCCGCCGGCGCCGCCCCCGCAGCCCTTTACCTGCGGCAGCCGGCCCTCCAATTCGGCCCTGCCGGGGGCAGTGGATCGCAGAGGAGTCGGAGAGGGCTCGCCGCCGTGTTCAGCCTCGAGTCTCGGACTGGAGCCCTGGTGCTGCCCCGCCGGCCGGCTGGTCCCCGGCTGAACATCAGCCGGCCCACCTCTCCCGAACGGCGCCACGCTAATCTCCGGGCCTCTCCCAGGCCCATTACCGGATCAGGATGGGCCCTCACCTCCTGGCCCCTGAGGACAGCTCGGTCTTTGGGTTCAGCACTCCCTTGAGGATGGCACCATAAGGGAGGGGGTCCCCGCGGGACAAAAGGGTGGAGAACCTCGCTGAGGCCACTGGCATTGGCCGGCGTGGGGGTTGGGACCCAGCTCTGGGAAGTCCCTGCTGCGGCATCCCCTGCCCCTCCTCCGTGTCCCCAGCCCTTAGTGCTCAGTTCCATACCCAAGGGTCAGCCCCAGGGGTCTGGGCCAGGAGCTGCCCGCCAATCCCCACATGGACTGGTGCTAGCGCTCCCTCCCCCACTGCCTGCCCAGTCAAGGCCCCCTGCTGGTCCTGGAAACTGCCCCTCCCTGCTCTCACCCCATCTCCAAAGACCCTCCTGCTTGGCCGCTTCCAGACCTCAGCCCTCTTGCTGCGTGTTTCCAGTCTGGGCTTTAGGCTGACCACCCCCTACCAGTAGGGAGCCTGGACAGGTCACCTAACTCTGGAGTCTCTCCTTCCTCATCTACAGAAGAGGGATGGTGAATGATCACCTCAGGTGCTGTTAGACCTTAGAGGTCGGGGTTTGCAAATGCTCAAAACAGAGCCTGGCACACAATAAAGTGCCCTACAAACATTAGCAATTTCCATTTCCAACACAAGTGGTTCTTGGTGAGTTGCCCTGTCTGGTGGCCCCTCAGGCCTGGTGCCAACATAGCCCCAGGTGAACTGTCGTCAGGCAGGCCTGATGCTAGGCCCTGGGAGCTGGGGCAGCCAGGTAGGTGGGCAGGGGAGAGACCCTCTGATAAAGGGCCCCTGCAGTGGGGCAGATCTGTGTTA